CTGTATTTGGCCCCTACAGAAACCAACAGAGCTAATGTGACTTCTTCTTGCTTTGCTTTGTCAGAACCATCCCTTTGGCTTGAGGGGGAGAGATGCTTTGAAAGAAAAGCTACAGGAAGTTATCTGTACTATTGATTTTTTAATTTTTTTATTGTTAAACCCTGCCTGGGGGCCATCTGCCATTCCCCAGTGCAAGCAAAGACCATGTGACAAATTTAAAAATAAAACTCAAGCTGGAAATGATAATATCCCAGAGGATCTCAAGTGTCTTCTCCCTTTTAATTTTAATTTCAGGGAGGGAGGGAAAAGGTTCGCCGGAATGGGCAGGGCAAATAATTTTGCAGAACCTGAACCTGTGTGGGCTCAAGAGCTTTGCAGGAATCCTTTCAAAACAGAAAGGTGGCTAACTGTCTGCAGACATTCACTCTAATTGAGTCTTTCTCTGCCATCTCTTGCTTTCGTTCCTCATTAAAGAAGACCAGGGAAACAAAGAGCTCATTTGCTAACAAACAAGATGTAGATGCCTCAATTATTTATATGAGCAAGCTGAGGGCCAAGCGGGAGATGCAGGGTGGGACACACTGGTAAAAAGCTGACCTTTCAGCCAGACCGAAACTGGTTACAGAGCAGTGTTGAAGTTGCCCCAATCCATGCCAGCTTCTGTTTCTGTCCCTTCGAGCTGATCAGACATCAAATCATGCTGGAAAGATGAGGGGGAACCAACTTTGCACCGTCCTGAGGCAGTGCGTAAGATCTGCAGCTGTGAGATTGAGTGAGGAATAACAATTCCCAGCCCCAGAAGGCTCCTTGATGATTTGTTACATGGGTGGGTGGCTTGTAGTTGTAGGCTACGCAATGATAATGAATTGGTTAATTTTAATTACTCCTTATTGCTGCTATTGTTTTAGAAATGTGATACATTTTGTAAATGGTTGTGCTGATTGTCTCACGTAGCTGATTTTATTTTGCTCTGTTTTGAATTTTTGTACTTTGTTTTATGTTGTGTTTTAATGTGTCTTGTATTAATGCATCTTGCATTTTGGTTGTCAACAACTCTGAGAGCCTTTTATGACTAAGTGGCAGTATAGAAATTTAACATGATGATGATGATCATCATCCTTGATGGTGGAACCAGGTTTGGAGAGGCAGTGTGCTGTAGTGGTTAAGAGCCTGGGACTGGGACTCAGAGGATCTGGGTTCGAGTCCCCGCTCGGCCATGGAGCCAACCGGGTGACTTTGGGCCAGTCACAGACTCTCGGCCCAGCCTACCTCACAGGGTTGTTGTTTTGGGGATAAGATGGAGGAGGAAAATGTTGTAAGCTGCCTTGAGCCCTTTGTAGGAAAAAGGCAGGATATAAATGGAAAAAGAAATAAATAGATGATGATGATGTCCTTGATGGTGGAACCATGTTTGGAATACTATGTTCCTTTCAGGTCACCACATGTAGAAATGGGTATTGTAGCTTTGTAGAAAAGGGACAGCTAAAAGGGATCACAGGGTTAGACTTGCTCTCTCATGAGGAAAGGTGGAAACAGCTAGGATAGCTTAGCTTAGAAAAGGAGGAGAGACAGGATAAAGGTGCACAAAATAGCAACAAATGACAGAATAAGGAACCCCTGAGGAGTCAGCTTACACGGATGGCTGAGAGTGCTGTCTCCAGGTTTTGGAGGGCTTCTGGGTGCAAGACCCCCCCCCCATGGGCCCCCTGTCTCGTTGCTGCTGTCACCGCCTGTTCCTGTCCTTCCCCCTCTTCCTCGTCATGGTCCCACTTGCTTGCGGGACAGACTGAGAGCCCAGGAGCAAACAGGCCATCCTGGTCACCTCTGTTGCCCAAGAGTCGCGAAGGAGAAGAGGAGCGACTCCAGGGGTCCCATGTTCATGGACCCCTACCGGAGAGTGGAACCTTAGCAGGTGCCCAAGCATACTGGCTGAAAGGCCACCTTCAAAGCATTCCTACCATGGCCAGATGGGAATTTTGGCCCATCCAATATCCCTTTGGATGACCGAATTTCACCAGTTCCTCCTTAAGCGGCAGCAGATGATTCTCAGTTGGGATACTCACTGCCGGGCTCCCCCTCGGAGAACTTTCATGGCAGGGTAGTGAATTTGAGGAGGGTTGGAGAGGAACTGCTGCACAGCTCACCTGGTAAGCATGACGGGGCCGTTGCCAAGAGCCCACCTCCAGCAGGGTCCCAGGGGAGCAGCTCCTCCGCATTGACACGGCAGCCTGCTTCTCACAGTGGTCCCGAAAGTGGCGAAGTTGCAAAGAAGGAGAAGGAGATGCCCCGGCCTCCTTGTGCCTGCCATTCTGCCAGCCAAGCAGGCAAGCCAGCGGTGGCCATGACGGAAAAGAGGACCTGGGGGCCCTGGCTGCAGAAAGAGGCTCGCTGAGTGGGCACGGAATTGCCCCCCAGAGCTGGCGCTGTGTGTCCATTTCTCCCTGGCGTGTGTCAGTGTTCAGGCCTTTAATGAGCAGCTTTGCTCCATTCGGAAGGGCTCGTGCTGCCGCAGAAAATGCCGTGCGATGCAAAACAACATTTTGGGCACCCTCTGAAGTTCCCCGAGACGGAAAGAAGTCCCACAACACCCAGGAGGTCCCAGCCTATCGCTGGAAATGGGAGGCCTTGTTTCTGGCTAGCCACACATAGACTAACGCGCACAGTTAACCAAGTCCGCAGCTCAGCCCTCAGGTGTTGTGAAATGCTATTTCCAAGGAGCCGCATCTCTCTCTCTCTCGCTCTCACTCTTCTTGCTCTTGAGCCACACAATGGACAGCTCATCAATCAGTATGTATTATTGTGTCTCTATTCACTGCCCCCAGCCCCCGTCCGATCAATGAAAAAAGTCACGTGGGCTAGCCAAGGGCATGCGAAATGGAGGGGGCCTTTGCCCCTCCTTCGTGCGCGCCGCTGCTCGGCCACTTTTCTCAAGGCAGCCAGCAAAGGAGGAGAAAAGATGGTTTTCTTTCCCAGTCCCCAACCTGGCCTGCCAGAAGCCAAGGCCCAGGGGAATGAAATGATGGTTTCGAACAAAAAGACTCGGCTCGTGGTTGACCAGAGGCTTGCTCTGAAAATGCAGAGGCTTGCAAAAAGAACAAGAGAGAAATTTCGGAGGAGGAAAATCAGAGGCTGAGATGGAAGACTGCGCCAGAGCCAGCAGGGCTGGGCCCTTGCTGGCCCTGACCGAGGAGAGCCTGCGGACAAGCGTGCCTCGTCTCCTCTCCTCCGCCACCGTGTCCTCCCTCCTCTTGCCTTAACCTGGGCACGATGGTGGTGTGAAGGGGGCAGGGGTGCCTCGTTGGGCCCAACTTCAGCAGGGCCCCCTGGGAAGCCCACCTCTTCCCCGTCATTGCAGCCGGCCTGCACACCTGCCTCCCACTCTGGCCCAGGCAGCGGAGGTGGTGGGAAGGTGGGGCAGGAGATGCCTTGGCCTGCCGGCCCCCTGGATCCCTGCCCGCCAAGCACACCCCCTCTCGTAGCCGGTCAGCACAGAAGCGTGGCCTCGGGCATCGGGAGGGCGCTGGGTTTGGGAGAGGCTGAGGCAGGTGGAGCGCAACTTTCCCCCAACCTCAAACCGCCTGGATGGACCAGATGGCAACTGTAGGTGGCGTTCACGGCAAGCATGGTCGGGCAACTGTCGAGGACCCCCTTCCCAGCTTGCCTGCACCTTTCTTAAACTGTACTCCCAGAAGGGTACACAGGACTCCAGATGAGGCCTCACCAGTGCAGAGCAAAGGGGCACTAGTACTTCCTGGGATTCGGAAGGGATTCTATTAATGCAGCCTGAAATTGCATTTGCCCTTTTTGCAGACACACCACATTGTTGACTCATACGCAGCTGGCGAGCTGCAACAATTCTAAGATCCTTCTTGCTTATAGCATTTTTGAGCCAAGTATTCTTCGTCTTGTAACAATGCATTTGGTTCCTTTTCCTAGGAGCAGAACTTGGCATTAGTCCCGACTGAATTCCTTTCTGCTGCTTTCAGCCCAGCACTCCTGCCTGCCAAGATCACCCTGAATCTTGTTTCTGTCTTCCAGGGTATCAGCTCCCCCAGCCAGTTTAATGTAACCTGTAAATGTGGTGATAATCATTACCATTCCTTGCCTTTCATCATCCACATCCTTAATAAAATTGCTGACCAGCGCTGGGCTCCGGAGGGCACCCCGCGGTACCCCACTTTTTGCCTCCCCCCAGTCTGAGGCGGCGCCACTGGTGAGCGAGCGCTCTCTGGGTCTGATTCTGCCCCCCAGCCCGGATCCACACAGCCCTCGTCCACTGAGCCCACTTTTAGCCAGTTTGCTAATACTGGAAGGTAAAATGTCGACTACTAATGCTATCGAATAACCCTGCATAATACTAACAATGAATAATGAATAAAAACAGTACTAATGAACCACTGTCATTATTAATTATGCTACTAATGGTAATGACTGGGCTGCGGGCAGGGCACGTCCTCGCTCCCCCCGCCCGTGGGAAGAATGGCTCCTCCTCGCATCCCTCCCCCCGCCGCTGGGGGTTCCTTCGGCGTCCTGCTCCTGCTCCTGCTCCGGCGGCACGAGATGGTCTCGCCCGGCCCGGCCACCCCTCTCCCCTCCGCAGCGTGGTCCCTCCCTCGCTCGCTCGCCTGGCAACCGGTGCGGGAGGAGCGGCGAGCCGCCATCTTAGTTCGCTGCGCGCTGAACCTTCCGCGCCGCGCCGGGCTGAGGCGGCAGGCAGGCAGGCAGGAGGCGGGCGGGCGGCCACGCAGCCGGGCAGGCAGGGCTGAGAGCGAGCGGCCTCGCGTCCTCCCCTCCGCGCAGCCCGCCGCGCCCCCTCGCAGACCCGCCGCCGTCTCGCGCCTCCTCCCGGTGCGGCCGTCGCCCGGGCGGGGGGAGCCGCAGGGTGCCCGCGCCCCCGCCCCGGTTCGTGGGGGTGGGTCGGGGGGCGCCGGTGGGCGGCGGAGAAGCCGCCGCCGCCGCCCGGCTCCGCAGAGATGCCGCGCTCGCCGCTGGCCCCCGCCTGCCTCCTGGCCGCGCTGCTCTGCGCGGGGATCCGCGGCGCCCGAGGTGAGCCGGTCGCGGGCGCGGGGGCGGGGCGGGGGTCGTCGGCGGGGGGGCGGCCCCCTCCGGGGCAGGAGCGCCGCGGCGCTGCGGAGGCTCGTTTGTTTCCTTGACGCATCGGCGGCCTCAGGATCGGGGCAGTGCGTTGCGCCGCGGTTTAATTTCGCAGCCTTCGTGGGAATTTGCGCTATGGGCTGTTGCAGAAGAGCGGCTCCGTGGAATTTGCAGCGGGACGCTCTTTGCTTTGCATTTTGCAAGCGTCGTCAGAATTTGCGATGCAAGGATTTGCAAATTGACCATGGGTTAGAATTGCACTAGAGGTTTTGCTGTAGGGCGATGCATCACACCTCAGCGTTGTGTTCTTTAATAACGTGTATTTATTGCTGTTACGGTATGATGTCGTGGGTATGCGTTTACTCATAGGAATGTTTTAGGCTGCAGTCCTGTAACTCCCAGTCTGGGAGGAAGCCCAGCTGACCTTGGGGGACTGCTTTCCGAATTGATGTTTTGCAGGACTGCATTTTCATATATAGCCGGACTGCATTATTTCAAACATAATTATTTTGTGCCATCGTGTGCAATAGATCATGTATGTAGTACAGCGTGTGAACATACTGCTCTACTCTACATGCTATGTTGCGAGATATTACCGTGTGTAATTGCATTTTTATCAATATGATATCAGCGAATATGCATGCAATAAATACCACAGTGCCTCTTTAATATTGTGTCCATGTCATCACAAGGCTCTTGCGTTGCTTCTTAATGTAAGATAACCTCAGTATATTGCTGTCTGTCATATTCATATTATGGCATGTTAATACTGCAGTGTATTGTCTTGTTTTAGTAATTTTATAGAGCATAGCAGTAGTATTGGTGATTCATGTTTTACACCGCAATATTTTAGCCTTTTCAGGCTACATAATACATCATAGATGACTTGTTTATCTTAGGGTATTTCACAGTAAGGATATTGGACATAGTACATCGCTATTTAATCCTTTGCTGCTGCTTCTGATTATTATTATTCTGATGTTTCGGAGTAATGTTTTGTGCCACCTCTCCTGTTTACTGCTTCCCTTGTCTGAGGAAGGGGATTTAACCACAATCTTGCCCTCTTTTCTCTAACAGGACACTTTCTCTCTCTTTTTCCGAGGCTTGCATTTCTTCTCATTTTCTTACGAAACATGCCACAGATGCAGTTTCATATGCAGTAACTGTCTATGCCAGATGCAGGGTACCTTTTCCATTAATTGGCTCTGCCCCCCGCCCCCACAGATACTAGAAGGTCTACCTATCCACCCATCGGCATTTCTCCCCTTTATGCACAGCTCTGCATATATCTCGGCGAAGAGCCCTCCCCATGGGCCAGAGAAGCAGCTCCCAGAGCTTCTGTGCACCTCCTCCGGTGGGGTGTTTATTCTTTCTCCTCCAAGTTTGCCTCCAAATTAATGCCCCCGGTCAGCGTGGGCCTTTTCGGTTTGTGCTTAAAAGCTGTGCTGGGACCCAAAAGAACTGCAAAAGGTTCTCACGCCTCTACAAACTGGCTTTTTCTCTCTGGATATTTGCTGGGGGAAACCCCTCCCAGAGCAGCTAGCCCTTTCTCTCCTTTTCCCTTGTCATCCACTTGCCCTCCGCCCACAGGCTTACAAAACTGTTGCCCTGCCCCACTGTCTGTAAGGGGTCGACACCGCCCTTTTCTCTTTCCCCCTATTCCACCCTGCTCTCAGGGGACACTGCCCCCTTAGACAATAAAACATCCCTGAACCTTTCATCACTTTGGCTCCCCCCCCACCCCCAGCGTCCTGTCAAGGGGCTTGTTATTCCAAATATATCTGGCTCCAGAGCCGTTGAAGCCCTTCAAGCAAGGACACCCCTTTTCCCTAAAAGATGGGGTGCCTCAGAACATCCCTCCCTCCATTGCCCTTCTCTTAAGGGAATAAATATCCATACATAAATGGAATAAATAAACGTGGCCCTTCCCTCTTTTCCCCCTCTGGAAGGCTTCCTCATGCTGCAGGATTTTGAATTACAGCATGGGTACCCCATTGAATCCTGGCACAGCGATTCTTTCTCATGTCCCCCTCGCCTTGCATTTAATGTGCAGCTATCTGTGAAGTCCCTTTCCCTATAGAGGAATTTAATGTGCCGTAACCTCTTTGCCTCCCCCCACTTCCCGCATTTAGGCGCCTTCAGGTTTCTGGAGCAGGGTGAAAATGGTCCCTGGGGATGGGGATATTTCCCCTTCAGGTGTATGCAGGTGTTTCTGTGTCAAGCAGATGGACAGAGCATGTGTATCCTTTCTGGAAGGTGACCCTTCCTACGATGGCGGGGCGAGGTTTTCCGATGGAGCTGCTGTCCCCGAGCAGGTGATGCTGTGGAGAATGGAAGCCGATGTTTGCATGGTATTTGCATTGAACTCTGCCCCCCCCTTCTCTGACTGTGTGTTTTGCTCTGGCGCGGCCCCCCCCCCCCGCCCCGTTCTGCTCCGCCTCTTTTCCTCTGGCAAGGAGAAAATTCCCCTGCATTGCCTGCTGGTGTTATTGGACATGGAAACCTGTTTGGCTGCTAAGAGGCTTCACGCACTTCTAGCAAAAGCTTTAAGCTCTCCTTGGCCAGGCTGAGCTGATTCGTGTGTGTGTGTGTGTGTGTGTGTGTGTGTGTGTGTGTGTTTCCCTCTGTGGGAGTGGAAGGCTGGCCCGGCCCTATCCTCTGCTGCCCACTTTGGCTGGTAATCTGGGTTAGCTGGGAGAAATGGAATGTATGGGATCTAAGGGGGTGTTTTTTCATGTGCGTCTGGGCCGTACATAGTGGCTCAACACACTTTCTCTTCTGCTTCGTTTCTGTTATGTAAATCGTTCCTCATCTCCCCCTCACCCTCTCCCCAGCCTGCAATTATTCCTCGCTCGAACCAGGCTCCTGGTTCTGTTGCCACTCCTTGGATGAGGGAAAGGTTAGCCATGTAATGAGGATAATGGTCCAGCTTCTCTGGCAGGGTCGAAAAGGCTGCCTGTCTTCCGTCCTTCAGGTGCCGTGAGCCGTTTTTGTGCGCATGCAATGTTGAGAGTGTGGTTCTTTCCCTCCCATCAGGGAAAGCTTTTAATCTGGTGGAATTGTGTTCTGATTGTCAGCTGTGAATGGGAAGGAGGAAATCAGACACTTCGCCGAAACTCCAGCCCTGACAATTCCACCGAGAATGCTTTGTGGTGGGCTTTAAAACAAATCCAGTCCTTTCCCCTGCCTTTTCAGCCATTTCACCTTTTGCATCTCTGAACCCTTTAGATACTGCTCACCCTTGAGATGGGAAGGGTACGCACTGCAGATGGCATCAAGGGGTCCAAATATGTCTTTCCCCAAATGTGGAGCTTGGGTTCCAAAAACAAGAGCATTGTCGAATAGCTCATTTGTTTCAGCAGTGTGCCTTGTGAAAGAGATTTATTAACTTCAAACCAACTGATTTTCAAGGTGGTACAAATGACATTAAGATAGTCATGCTGCGATATATCTTTACTCTGGCTTAATGTTTAATTTTTTCCCTAATGGACTCACAAGCAAATGGGGCTTGAACTTCCTAAATTCATGCCAATTCTCAAAAAAACAATACCTCATCTTGTGGCACCTTCAAGGCTGCAAAATTTACCCTGGCATAAGCTTTCCATGTGACTGGTGTTTTCCAATTGCGTTGGACTATAGCACCCACCATCCCCAGCCAGCATGTCTGCTGGTCAGGCATGCTGTGAGTTGTAGTCCAGAAACATTTGGAAGGGGCTAGGTTGAAGAAGTCTGGTATGCATGGGAGTTCGTGACAGTTTTCTGCCGTAATAGTTATTTTTTGAGATGATAAGGCTGTTCCCTATTGTAAATTTAATGCTCTCCATAACTGAGCGGAGCTAGCTCCCCACTGTGCCCTCTCTGTATTTCCCCAACCAAAACTTATTTCAAGGGTAGCACATCATCCCATGACACTGTCATACATGTTTAATGGCCATCCTGCTTCTCTTGCACAAAAGCTTCTTCATTAAAGCTTATGCAAGTAATCAAAATGAAGACAGATTCTGGAAATGCCGCTCCTTTGGTACATGACAGTTGGAAGATAGAAAGCATTGGAGCGATTTAAGAAGGATCCTCACACTCTTGCACTGGAGAAACACTCTGATGCCGTGTGCGTAGGATCGCTCACAGTCTGTTAAGGCTAGTAAATACCTCCTGGGGACTAGCGGCAGTTCCGTGCTAGGGACCAAGTACGGAAGTTTTTGCTTGCTGATTGCCAGCATCATAGCTCTCAACACATTTGTGTTATAAATATTTGCCGAAAGCTAAGAATCTCTTGTGGACTACTAACCTTTGCAGACTAATTTGTAAGACTGGAATATCAGCTGCTCCCTTGACCTATACTTATGCTAATGCAGTGACTAAGAATCTTTGGACATATGTGCGCCTTTAAAAATAGAAACCTCTATCCTTTTCATGTTACTTTAAGGATAGATTGTGAAAACCAAAGGCTGTTGAGGGAAAAACCAATGTTAGATTGCAGGGGGCTAGATGAGGAAACTTTTAATCTTAGCTTTAACCCTCCTATGCAGGCACTTTCTATGGAGCAATATCTGAAGGGCTGGTTTGAGGTTCTTTTAGGATGCAGATCCAGGTTTAGACAGAAACAAATCCTATGACTCTCCGCTTGGCTGGCTGGGAAATGCTAAGAGAGGTAGGGCTTTTTCTGCCTAAACGAGCATAGGATTGTGTCCTTAGTTTACATCAGCCGTAGGAAATATATATGACAAATTTTCAGAATGCAGTGTCCCTGTTTCTAAGGAGGGCTCTGTCCAGTTGGTAACCCGGAAGTGCTGAAACAGCGCTATTTCAACAAAGCAGTGTGGATTTTCTATTTCGACCACTTCCGATGTACAATTATTTCCGATTAACGCTGTCTCTGCATAAGTTCACTTGTCCCATGATTTGCTAGATTGGCGTCTGAAACAACCCTTAGAATAAGACGTCGGAGTTGG